TAACTTTATATTATGTATTTATAAAAATACAAAATTATTAAAAATAAGAGTAATTAATGATAAATTTGGCCTGTTTAAATTTCACATGGACCGTCTAAATTAATGTTAATCGAACCGAAACTAGATCTTGTATGATTCAAGTCTTATTCTTATGTTTAATAAGATTTTTGCCTTCCAAACTCAGTTCTTATTCTTGCTTTTCTCTTGACTAAACCCACTAGTTTTTTCGTCTGTACGCGGTTCTTCTAATTGAGATAATTTTATTCAAAACACGATTAAGTATTAAATATAAATATATCTTTTAATAAAATTTTAAATTTAAATTTATCATGTTACGAAAGATCAGCCCTAACTCTCATGGGTTGAATAAAACTCGTATTTACTAATTGCTGGCAGCATGAAACAATGACTATGCGAAATGCTCCAATCTTTGGCAACAATAAGTTCAATCACATCTGTGGACTAGATATTCTATCGATGGATTTTTTTGGTGGCAAGAACAAAAATCAAGGACTGAAACTAGACAAAAGTGCTTTAATTTTTCGGTCATTAATATTGTTCTGCAAGTGCTAGTGAATGAAAATTAAGGATGAAAAAAAAACCAGTTAATTAATTGTGGTGCGGTGATATATTTAATATTTATATATACAATACAACATTTTTAATAAGGCATATTTTTATCAAACGAGATCACATTTTGCTATGATTTAGACTAATGACTAGTTTTTCGACTATTTTACTAAAAGAAATGTTTTTATAAATAACCTTATATAGATATTTTAAACCGGGGAGAATATATGAGCATAGAGAAAATAGAAGTCAGGAGCTTGGTTGAATAGTTAAATTCTTCTTGTAACTGGTTAAAATGCGGCCCCGAGACCGTCGCACACAGGATTTCATAATTTTCTAACCAAATTCAGCATTCTTATTTCAACAATAAATTAAAGTCATACTTTTACAACAATAAAAAATTAAAGTCACACACTCATTGTCATGTTGGACTTTTTCACTGGGGAGGCAAATTTGCCGGAATCAAATGACGGGAATAAGACTTAAAAAGTATAGCAACACAAGTGTTATTTATTTATCAACAACTAATTATTCTAGGGGCAATGTCAATTTTCTCTCTTAAAACAGGTTATGAGTTCAGTTCGTACTCAATGACATGGTTGAATTTGCATGTGTGGGATTTTTTCCTTTTTTAGGTGAAGGGTTATGTTGGGAATGGGGTTTTTTTTTTTTCAAAATGTTATTTATTTTTTAAATACTTAAAGCAAGCGTTATTTATTATATATGAAACCTAGTTAATTGTACCCAGAATTAGCTAACTTAATTAGACATCATGCCAGTGGATATTATTAATTGCTAGAAACACTGATCAGTACTCCATCTCTTACTTATTATCATAAGAACGTGATCAGCACTCCAGCTCTTGCTTATTGTCATAAGAATGTATCAATGACTTCACATTATAAAATTTTTAGAATTTCGGAATCGCTCTCTGTGAAAATTATTAATATGAGAGATTGTTTAGCTAGTTTTTAGATTACGTGATTTTTAAGATGAACATGTACAATAAGGAAAATCGTATTCCAGATGGCTGATTTAATGAAGCCATTAAGGCATTAATTAAGCATCAACTGCCAAATATGTTAAGCCTTTAGTTTCTGAACCCTGATAGGTTTGAGCTTGACCCTAATAGGTTAAGCCATTAGTTTCTGAACTTGGTTTTTCTCAAATCATTCCATTTTTAGGGCCTGGATTCAGTGATTAAGATTTAGGGCGAGACCTAAAAAACCTTGATTTTTTTGTTTTACATTTTTCAATATAAGGCTTGGACTTGACAGTTGAAATCTCACGTTTAAAGTCATAAGTTCACATGCAAAGCATAGATAAAAATACAACAGAATACATTTTTAAAATGCGTTACGCGTGACAAGGAGACCGGGTAACATGTGTGATGAAAAGATAAAGAGTGAAGGATGGGGGGGGGGGATGTGGGGCTAGAGATGAGTAAGTGATGTTGGTGCTGTTTAAACTCGTGACGCGAGGCATACCGACAAAGTATGTGTATTGTTTGAATGTTACAATTTAGGTGAGTAGTGGGTTAAAAACTAGATAGTTTGTCATTTCTGACCTTTGTTTTTAAACAAAAAAGGCAGAATAAAAAAATCATGGCACAAAGAAACTTAGAACAAAAACCCAGATGACAAATCACAAAATTGTAGAGGCGATGAAGTTTCCAAAAGCTAAAGCACAACAATTCAATGAGAAAGGGAGAGAGGGCAAAGACGGAAGGAGTAGAGTCTTTGAAAGGTGAGAGATGTGGTGAATTAATCATTATTAAATTGGTAGAGATTGACGGTGTTGGAGTAGGAGATCACAATGGCAAGGGCACAAGAGCTCATTGGCTATGTGGGCAGTGACTTGAGGGAAGGAACTCATCAATGATATTGTGAAGAGTAGTTGTCTTGACTAAAGAGGGGTGAACACAAAAGAAAACCAAAGAGCAAGAGAGGTCACAAGAAGGAGAAAACGCGACAGGAGTGAAGATGTGAAGAGCGGCCGAGGATTAGGGTTTCATATATTGTTATTAGTTGGTTTATATGTTTACTTTTTTCAAGTATAAAATGAAAGAGAATAAAATAAAATAAAGTAATTGATAAATCATATATAATTTATAAATTAAAAATTATTGGATATATATATATATATATATGATAATTTAGTCAATTCAATCTATTTGATTTTAAATTTTATTAATTGAATTGAATTGATCAACTAAAATTTTTCTAAAAAAATCTAATTAAACCAAAAAACTGAATAGACAAATTAATTTGGGTTCAATTTTTGATTTTGATCCAGTTTTGCTCATCTCTGGTTAAAACAAGATAGTTGCTCACGTTTAAACCTTTTTCCAATATATATGTATATGGGAGGCGAGAAGCCGAAGCTAACAAATTTACACACAACCGGAGAAAGTACTTGCTTTTGGGTTAATGGTGGAGATGCAGCCATTCTAAATAGAGTTGGCTTTCCTCTTCACAGTCAAGGAATTATTGAAGATTTGTAAAATTAAATAAAATTTGACAATTTAAAATTAATAGTTTTTAAAAACACATTTAATTTAAATAGTTTAGATTTGGAGTGAATGAACAATGGAGAGAAAGCGTGGTGAAGGAAAACCTACCCCCATCCGGATCTTGTATAGAACTATGGTTTTTAATACAAGACAAATTTAATCAATTCCATGCTTATTGAGAAATAATAGTCATATTTTTAAAGTTGTTAAGAATATGCGCATTTCTAACTTCGTCATTCTGTGCAATTAATAACATATTAAATTGTTGTGCATGAGTTCAAATCAAAATAAATAAACAATGAGTGATATTAAAGAAAATATTTCTCAATTTATTATCTCCTGGTAATAGTTTCTTAATTCATTATTGATTAATATAGCATACATACAATTTCTCATCATCACACCTCCTTTTTAATGTTTTTGTTAAACACCTGATGCACACGATTTTAAAAGATTCATTCACTTGAAGATCACCAGGCTAGACTAGATTCGTTTCCATGGTTCTGTCATCTGTGGATTTTAATGTGGCACCCATTGATCATTATTGGTTCAAGATTGCGTGGCTTAAATTTAATATGCATGATTCACTTTCTAAATTTAATTTTAATGATCCAAAATTAAATTTTTTATTTTTTAAGTTATAACTTCATCTTTTAAATTTTGATTGTTACGTGACAAATTAAATTAAAATTTATCCTGTCCAATTCTTTTATTACTTTCAAGATTTTAGGGTTTATAGAGGTGTCTATGTATAGTGGTTTAATAACAGCAATAATTATTAAAATAATTAATAACTAATTTATTTATTTTTTTAAATATAAGGCCACAATGAAAATCATGCACGTAAACCAAGATCAAGTCATGTTAGAGGATATAAGACTTTTACAATACACAAGCGAGATGCAAATAAAATAATATCAAAATTTTCACTCGAAGTCTCATGGGTTAAAAGATCGACACATCAATTAACTTCTCTGTAAATATGATTAAAAGTGATCTCCTAATCCCTTATGGTGAGATTTTTTATGTTTTTAATAACTATTGAGAGAGGGTGGTTATGAAAAAAGTTACAATCAATGAAAGAAAGAGTCTCCATAAAATTTAAATAGACGTTAAATCTGAAAATCTTAGCATTTTAGAGTTTTTCCAATATTCTTGTAAGTTCATTTACTGTGTTGAGTTGATAATTAAAATTTTTAAAGAAACCTTTAATTCATTTATCTTTGTCATACTTAATGATACCTTAAGGTTGATTGAACCATTACATGTCAAGTCTCACCTATCCAGTGTTTGGCGGATTCTGCCAAGCCTCATGTCATATCTTACGTTAGTTATGTTCAAAAGGTGGAGTTTGGATTGAAGTTTCATGTGGCTGATCATAACTAATTTATTTTATTATATGCACAACTCTACATGTTTCGGAGAAAGACCTGAAAAGTCAAAGAACTTAGTTGTGGAATTCTTTTTTGACCGAAATACACAGCATGAATTTTGACAAATATATTTTAAGGATTTGTTAGATGTAATCTTTATCTTTATTGCCATGATTAAGGCTATAAAAAAGGATATATATTATCAATTAAAGGATAGTATGGTGGGGAGAGATATAAAGAATCTGATACACATACAAGGAAATCAAAATCAAATAGTTTATTTATTTATTTATTTTTTTGAGCGAATAGTATATTTATTTTCTTAAAACAAAAGATAATGTATGCCCAAGTCTGCGTTTTGCAAGTTGCAAAGCGTGGTGGCGGATTGCGTCAAAACCCAAAACAAGAGAGAAAATCTAAAGTGTATATAGAAAGGGCGGTAAAATTCCCGGCTTCGCTGCAGCACGCGGGATCTGCAATCTTTTGTACATCGCACACAACAGAGGTAAGATGAGTAGGTAGAACCAACCTAGAGGCGTTCCTGCCTGCTGTATATTTCTCCTTTTTCGCTGTTTCCTTTCAACTCCTCGTCTCCCCTATTTTTCTTCCAAGTTTTTTACAAGCCTTTCCCCTTCTCTAAAGAAAAATATTTTACTGTTAACAATTAACAGATTTCAGCCCTTCCTCTTTTTTTTTTTTTTTTTGGGGGGGGTGTTTTTTCTGTCCTTCTTCCTTGGTTCTCTTTTCTCCCAGACGGGTCTCTCCCTGTAGCTTCAGCCCAACTCTGAATCTCTCTACACCACGACGCTTCCTCCTCCCTTCCTTTCTCATTCTTACATATCTATCTTCGCCTGTCTCCCCACTATTTTATTAACCATAATCTCGTCAACATTTTCAGGTCAAAACGCGCACCAGTCCCAGAACTTGGACCATCCTTGGCTGATCATCGGCCTCTATTTTTTTTTTTAACTGCGTAATCCCTGGATAATATCAACTCTCTTTCAAGATCGGATAATAATCTAATACTCTCTGATTGTTGCACCTTAGACAACCACGTTGGAGTTGGTTCCTGGACATCCGGAAGTTATCTTTAGGCCGTAAGAATTGAATTTCTGTGTCTGACAGTCATCCCAATTACATGAGAACCCGTTATTGATTTGTGGAGAATTGCTGATTTTTCATTTTTGGATCTAGCCTAAGCGGGATTGATCCGCCTCGTGAGTTTTGTGGGGTAACCATGAAGTCCGGGTCACTGGAATACTGGAGGAATTACTTTCGAACTGCAAATTCTGATATATTCGATATAATTGACCACGCGATCATGGTGGCGGTTTGGGATTGTCCGAAGGAATTTAGATTACGAAGAGACGGAATTGCGGAACGTTTGTTTTCTTCTAGATTGACCCGTTGTGTGGGGTGTGATCGATTGGAGTTGGCGGTATCTGGTGATGACGAGGAAGATGGAGGTTGTAAGAGTGGTTTTGATCGAGATGCTACTGAATTAGAAGCAGGAGCTAGTAAAGAGAGCAAGGTCAATAGTAGCAGAGACGATCATGGAGAGATGGACAGGAACAAAGTTAGTACTTTTAGTTTTGGAGAAGCTGAGGCATTGACTGATGAGATTGAAGAAGAGTCTCAGATGGTTGAGGAGGTTATGAGGATCAAAGACATTCTCCATAACAGCAAGGAAGAGGTATATCCTCTTTTCTTGAAATTGTCTGTGTTCAACCCTTTCCGGATTAGCTATCTGTCCGTAATTTGTTGTTAATCTCCTGAGTCAATACCTGCTTCTTTGTGTTACAATTTATTCTGGAAGTTTGATGATATTTGACTATAGAAGGTGGGTTCTGGTAGACAATTTCAAAGAAAAACTGTTCCTTAAGATATATTTTGTTCTTCATCTCCCCGGTCCGTCATTCATGGTGCTTTCTTTTATTTTACAACAGCCTGATTCAGTACTATTTGAGTCATTGAGGAGGCTCCAGCTGCTAGCACTGAACGTGGATCTTCTTAAGGTTTGAATTGAATCGTCCATTAGTCTTTTAATGAGCCTGCCATGTTTCTCGTGCTTCCTGGCTTCATGTGTTTGCCTCTCTTCAGCCCTTTGCCATGTCCTTTAATGGTTTGAATCCAACTTTTCCAGGGAACTGAAATTGGAAAGGCTGTCAATCCTCTCCGGAAGCATGGATCAAAGGAGATCCGTCAACTTGCACGAACTCTTATTGAGTATGAACCAATTCTCTGATGCCTGTTTGCCATGCATACATTCTTTGCTTGTTCTGTCCGGTGAAAGAAAAATGAGCCTTCTGTCTCCTGCTACATGTTATTTCATTGGAATCTGTTGATGCAAGATCTTTCTCTCTATTCTTGTGTGATCTTATCTGTGAACTTGAATGTAGGTCTGAGTACTCCATCAATACGTTTGACTTTAATTTGTTCTGTCGACCTGTCTGTTTTTTCTTCATCGTCATGATCTTATTTCCAAGATCGATCATCCTCAGCTAATACTAACAAATTGATATTACTATTAATGTGATGACTTCTCGTTTGATATATTTATTACAAAACTGTGCATCTTTCTTAGTTGTTTGAGTCCTTTGTGTTCAATGGCAGTACTTGAATAGTTTGATGAGACTGTGTGGCAAATGATTTATAACCGAAGTTAATTCCATTTAAAGCATGCTTATGCTCGGACATCACTGCTGTACAATAGCGTATCATCATTCATTCATTATTTTGATTTAAATTCGTGTGGGAAATCTGTTTTATTTGGTTAGTTACATAGTAGACGACACACTACACATTCTAAGCATAGTTTTGAATGGCAGTGGCTGGAAAGAAATGGTAGATGAATGGGTCAAGTCCACGGCAGCTATAGCAGGTAAAACTTTCTATCTGCATTCATAATACAGTCATCAAGATATTCTGACTACTCTCACCCTCTCTAAAATCAGCTGATATTTGATATTGGACTTTAACTCATGATTCCTAGGTTCAGCAGAAGGAACCCCAGATTCAGTTAATCCATCAGTGGTTGATGAAGAGGAAGGGCTTCCTTCACCTCCAATGGATGAAGGGGCTTTCCTTGCAGCTCCAACTGGTCCAATAGAACTCTCACAGGTATTTAACTATACCATGCCCCCTTTTAATGCAGGGTTTGATAGCTAAAAACTGACCCCTCTCTTGTCTTGGTGGATGTCACTTACTTGGATTATGCGAAGTTCTTTGATGGCATGGATGATGATGGAAGTGAGTTGAATTGCCTTAGCTTATGCTTATTCTAGCTGCTTTCTTAATTAGGTTCTTATTATTGGGGAATTTTGTTTCAGATTTTCGACAAAGTGGGGAATTCATGAAGACTCGCGAACATATCAGAAAACCATCTATGGACAGTCAAAACGTTGCAAAGAGAAAACCACAGGCTTCCAGAGAGGCCAATGAGAGTAAATGTCACCAAATGAAGAAAAATGAGGTTGCTGCGAGACAAAGTAAACCGGTCTGCACTGATGCTGGCCCTGGGAGGCCACCAAAATCCAGCTTGCAGCAAAAAAGCAACACAGTACCAAAGATGCAGCAGAAACAAGAGAAGAGTGCTATCCCGAAGAGGCCTCTTGTTACTGAGCAAGATGTAAGGAAGAATATCTTTATGCTCCTATTTGTTCATTCCTGAGTTTTGTCTAACCTTATATATTGGTTGTCAGAAATTCAAGTGTTCAGATGACGTTTCAGTCCAAGTGAAACTAGAAGCAACTAAGAGGAAACTTCAGGAGTCTTACCAACAAGCTGAAAATGGTACGTGATTTCTTCTCTGATATCAACGTCTGCTTTTATGTATGCTCACTTTCAATTTTTAGAGTTCAAACGGTCAAGTGACTTCTATGAATCCTGAGATTTGAGTTTAAAATATGCAGAATTCAAAGCTTGAGTCCTGACTTGTTATGATTCATGTGCTGGCGTGTTTACAGTTATGATATCAATTGCTGAAACATTTTTGTTTTATTTGCAGCCAAGAGGCAGCGAACGATACAGGTTATGGAGTTGCATGATCTTCCAAAGCAAGGGAACGGCCACCGAAATCCGCACTTCAAGTCTGGGAACCTCAACAAGCACTGGGCTCATGGACGAAGATAGAGATTTCTGTATGCAAGTAGAGGAGCTACGGTAGTTTTACAGAAGTTTGAATGCTACGACTAACTTGTTTGGCCATGATGAGGCCGGGACGGAAGCATGGTTTGCTTGCCCATCAACAATACCAAGCCCCTTCCGGGGCAATTTCTTAAGTCAAAAGACATTGAGTACATAGAAAATTTGTTCACCCACGATTGGTGAAGAGGGTCCTAACTGCGGCACTCAACTGTGAACTTGTTTCTACAATCATTGTCTATATAGAAATCTCGTTGAATCCACTCTTCAATTTTATCGTCTTAATTTGTCATAAACTCAGTGGTCTTCCACTCTCATAATAGTTTTGTGCCCATTATTTACCTCTTTTCTAGCCTTTGCTTTGACGAATTAAGCTGGTTAATGTAAACCAAAAATCCATATAGTTATACCATCACTTGTCTGGATATTGTTACGTTACGGCCTAAGAAAAGGGGTCTGAAATATTATTATATAGAGGAGAGAAGACAAGCTAATTGTGTAAAGCAAAAGCAATTTCTGAAAGAAATGGGGCGGTGACAACGACTCAGGAGAAGGAATCTGGTGTTAATAAAATGAAATGAACTCATACGGTGCAAGTTAAACAGAATGTTATATTATATATATATATATATATATATATAGTCGGGACTTGTGGCAGAATTTGACGTTGCAAGAGTGAATTTAAAGATATTGTCGCTTGGCATCAAAGATGGGAATATGTAATATCTTAGGCTGAGATTCGAACTTTGGAGGCCTTCAACTTTCTGGGATGCATTTTTAGGACTCATTTTCCTTGAGATGTGTAGCTTTGTTTTTTTTTTTTTTTGGGGTGAGTATGTGAAAAGCATAAAGGCTTGAGACAGGAGTGACCTAATGACCTTATATGCAAGGGACTGGACATTGGATAGAGTCCAATTTGAATGGTATCAACCAGTGTTTTGAAATTCAGACCAGACATCAAATCGAAAAGGGCATCAGGTCACAATTTTTATGGTTCAACTGGTTAGATAGACAGTAGAAACAGTAACATAAAAACTAAATAAAAAATAATATTTATATACACAAATATACATAAAATATTAATTTGTCGATGGTGTTTGGGATCTCGATGTTGAAGGCTAGATGCTTGGATCACTACAGCTGGAGATAAAAGCATGTCAACACAAGCTTGCAGTCTCAAAGGAAAACGCTGGAGCTAAAGGCACACCATCATGTCATGATTCAAGAGCTTTTGATCTCGATATCAAAGGCTAGATCGCTAGAGTTAGAGGTAGAGGTTGGAGGAGAAGTTAAAGATTAAGCCTAGGCCATGGAAGAGAGATCAAAGATTAAAGAAGAGAAGATAAAAGAGAATCAGAGATTAGAAAAGAGAAATCATAAATCTGAATGACTTAACCTAAATTTCTTCTTCTTTTTTTTTTCTTTGAACCGGGTTGACCCACTCTGGTTTCTAAATCAAAGTCGATTCTCTTAAAATTGGCCAGGTCAACCTGATTCAAATGTCAAATTAATTTAATTAGTTGGACCAAACCTTTTTGTTTAGCCTGTGGCATTCAGACAAGTTAGACCATCTGGTCCGATCCGAGTTTCATATCACTAGTGTCAACAAACACACAGTATACTAGGAAGAATAAGGGCAGTACACGTCAGAGTTAGAAGGCTATTTTTTTTTCCTTTTTATTGGTTTTATGGACTGATAATCATATCCAGTGGGAGCGTGAATTATTTTGGTCAAATACAGAAAATGATTTAGTCATTAACAGTTACAGTAACAATATTTATAACTTTCTGTTTTGACAGTAACGCTAATTGTTACCCTGTAAGGGTAAAAAGAAATGGAGATGCCTGTAATTCCTGCTTTTTCCTGACACAGTCTACATTTCAATCAGGACCTTAATTGTCATCGGAGTAAAAATAGAAAAAATGCTGAGCATATGAAATATGCAGGATGCGAAATGAGTCCAGGTGTGAAACGAAATAATGAGGGCAGAGCACAATGTTGTTTTTTAAATTATATTATCATGATAGAATAATAATAATAATAGAAAAAGGTGGGTGCACACTGCACAGAAGAGGCCAGGGGAAGTGCATTTTCTGGCAAAGTGGAAGAATCTATCAATGGCCACTACGGTGAATTGTGGAGCTCCCAGATTTGCTGTCCCTTGTTCTTCTCTCCCTTTTGAAAGCCACATCTTTTCATTCAATCCTCTCTCTTTGCCCCATCTTTCATCCTTCATTTACACTTCTGCATGACCAGTATATTAATTTTTTAAAAATAAAACATCATATCAAGAACGGCAGACAAAAGATTGTCAATATTTTAAAAAACATAAATACCAATTTCATACACAACTAATCGCACTCCTTGAAAATGATTTTGAAAATCATGAATAATTCAACGTCTTATCTTGTTACAGAGGAAAGAAAAGGGGAAAATGAAAAGGGACCTCACTTTCCAATGGCATTTGTAATGAGATAGGAGGACAAGGCACGTGGCAGAGGGATTGATCTTATCTTGTGAACGAGAAGGAACCCACTCACAGTGACAACCCAAACGAAACATTAACTAAAGAGTGAAGATTTGGAGAAATTTGGGTCACACGAGCAAGCAATGACCCAAGCATTTTAGAATTATTGCGTCGGTAGAGTAATATGTAAGGTACCATTTCCTGTAATTCAAAAATTCCATTTCTACGTAAGGTTCTTTCCTTTTACTCTTTTTTTTTTTTGGGTAATTTTTAATTTCTGATTTTGGATGCTTGAGAACTGTTGGTCAAAGTGTGGGAAGGTGAGAAAAGAATCAAGCCCCACCTAATTAATTAGGCTCCCATGTTCTTCACCTGCATTTAGTCATTTAATTCATTAATGGTTAACAATTAATAAAAAATAGTGCATGCCACTATCCATTAACCACTTCATAATTGGTGTCCCATTTTAAGTAGATGAAATAATTTCCTTATCTTTTCCATTCTTTACCTACTAAGCTTGCCACCTACACTTTCATTATTGGTTGGACTACAATCTAAGGAATACTATAGTGCAGCTGAATTGTGGATCTCTCTCTCTCTCTCTCTACCTGCAGATTTATAACAACTACACCTCTTTGAATCAAATCTCACCTCTAATAAATTTTAGGATAACTGACTTTTTCAATCCAATCCATATAATGTCTTTTTTAAGAATTAGAGGAAATGCATCTCAAGTACACTAATTAGTAGGTATGAGAGGATGCATGTCTAATCCACAAGGATAAATGATTGATTTACTCATTTATTTTTATTTAATAGAGTGTTTTACTTTAAATTAAATATTAAGTGATTTATTTTTTAAGGACACTTTTTTTTTTAAGAAGGCAATAACTATATATTGAAACACTAAAAATATTTTACATATTTCAACATTTAACATCTAAAAAATGCTTTATATTTTTTAACAGAGGGAGTATTAATTATTAATTATCAATAAAATATATAATCTCAAGTAATAAATATTTTAAATTTTTGATACAAATAATAAAATTTTCTAATTACACTGGATACTGATTCATTAGATGCTAGCCCTCGCATTAAACGCAAATTGGGGGGGGGGGGGGGGGGGCGCAATATTGGAGCGAGCAAACTGAGATCTCAATAAAAATAAAAAATGGATGATGGGTTGGTGCAGAAATCGATCTAATTACAAATAATAGAGTCAACGTTTAAAGCTGCATTTTTTAATATGGTGTATTTTTTATGTGGTTTTTTATTATATATTGATGACATGGAGTTAATTTGTTAGAAAGTTATATACAACTTTTTTTTTTTATAAGTTTGAACTTTTAATCTCTCCAAGTCTTGTTATTACTCCCTACATATAGTATCAGGTATTTACGCATAGTATCAAGTATTTACGCGCGCACCTAGGTATGCATGTATATAGTTTAATGATTTTTTTTACGGGTCAAAGGGCAAAAATATTACTGCACTTTCATCCACTTAAAAAAAATGAGTATTCTTGGGAAAAAAAGTTGATAAGTATTTTTATTCTTTAATTTTTTATTGGTTTGAAATTTGATAAGTAAAAATGGTGATCACAATATTGTTCACGGGACAAGAACCAATTGTTGCTGCTAGACCCCGAGAGAATAGATGTGTGGGATGCTGAAGGTGACAGCCACAGGGGCGAATTTAGATAAAAAGAAAAGGGACAAAGGTGCAAATTTAATCATAATTTTTTTTTTTCAAGGAGCACCTATCATTTTGTTTATGAGATGGTATAAAATAATAAATCATTAACTATTTTAAAACGTAGCTTTGGATATTCTACCGTCCATTTGTTGTTAACGTTGATTATTCATTTATTCGAAGCTAGTATGATTCAAGGATGGCAATCATAAAGCACTCGCCTTTCATTCTGTTACTAAATTTTCATTCTCTTTGGTCCAATCAGACAACCACCTCCGCCATCAAACATGTCCGACACACTGCGCAATCTGACTCCAACGAAATCCTCATCGGAGAATAGCTGATCCACTCCATTAACTCCGATGCCATAATCGTCGGTGTCAAATTCTAATGCAGTCACTTGTTTCATACCTTCCGCCAACTAGCATAGAAATTGCATTCAAAGAAGTTTTGGAGTGAAATTTGAGGTTCCCAAATTTAGGAGCAAGGTCTTCTTACCTCGGGCACTTTCTGGCTTCTACTTTGGTATGTCAAACCTATAGATCAGACAAGAAGATGGGGTATATATTAGTGAAGGAGAGATGATTTTGGCCATTTACCACGAAGGATGAGAGAGGTGATGAGGTGGACGAATGAATTCATTTCTTCATGCCAGGTGGGTATTATTTAGTCAAAGCATTCTCTACCCCAACGTCGGTTAATGGCAAATAGACAATGCCATGATAATTTATTTTGCACTATTTTATAATATAAAATATTAAATATTTTTAAAAAATAATTTATAATTAAATTTGTATCTTTATCTAAAGAAAAATAATACTCCCTTCTCTCATAAATGTATGAGCTAGTTGACGAATTTAAATTTACAATAAAGTAATCTAGTAAGTCTTTTAAATTTATAATAGAGTTAAATTACAAATTTATTTTGGATGCCTTTAAAAATTCATATAATTTTTAAACACATTTTATAAAATATTTCTCTCACATTCTTAAAATTCATATGATTTTTCTTCGAGATAACAAAAGAGCAAAACAATCCAACTAGGTGAGCCCCACACGTCGATGCCAAGTAAGCTAGATACTTTTCAAACATTGACATGTGTTTTAAAAATATATTTACAAACTATAAAATGTAAAATTTATTAAGAATTAAGAATTAAGAATTATATTATAGCTTGTG